ATATATATATATATTTCAAGTAAATTTAAGTTGTAATTATAAGATTGGGTTTGGGTCTCTTGATTTTATTATTGTTGTTTAAGCTAGATTGAGAGCAAAGTTAAAGTTTGTAGGCAGGAAACGTGATTCAGATCCATCACAATTTTCTATCATTCTACATTAGTTTTAGGGATTTTTTAGAAATCTTGTTCTACGATTAGTTTTAGGGTTTTTTAGAAATCTTGTTTTAAAATTGAATATGATCTTAGATTTGTGTAGTCTAGCAAACATTTTTCATGGAAAATATATTTCAAAATGAAGTTGTTTTCCACAAACTAAACAGACCGTTAGTATTTATTTTAGCAAAAATTTTCAGAAGTTTATGTGAGTCAGTCATAAATTTTTACATTTGATTGGATATTTGTTGTTAAGATTTCATCATTAGCTAGTAATTAATCCTGTTGTTTTTCTATAGAAAATATGGACAAAATTGCAAGAGACAAACCACAACATTTGTGGCAAAATGGTTCGTTAGTTAACATTGTTGTTTATAGCTTTTTAAAATTGATTATTATGATGAGTTGGTTTAATTACTTCAAAATTTTAATGAAATCATTACTGGTCAAATATTTATCTTTTTGTTTTGTATGAAATTTATAATGAAGAAATAATATTTTATTGTAATTTTTCACATATACTTTTCTTTTTTAAAGATGTTTTGTCCCTCACAATTAAATCTTTAAGATTCATTATATTAATGAATTTTCATATTAGGAAGTTATGATAAATAGTTAAATTTCAATTTATTAATTATTAAGAGTAATGAACTCAAATTTTATGACATTTATAAAAACATATAAAGTAGGAATTGATAGAACATGATAAAACATTGGCTAAATATTAATTTTAGTCCCTCAACTTTATAAAGTTGCACTTTTTTGGTCCCTCAATAATTTTTTGCACTTTTTTGATCTCTCAACTCTAAGAAATGCACAACGTTAGTCCTTCCATCAATTTAGGCCGTTAACTCCATTCATATGGCATTTTTTATTTTTTATTTTTTTATTTTTTGATGACATGGAGAAGAAAACTTAAAAAGATGGTGACATGGACAAAATTTTATGCCATATCATATTTATACGATGATATACACAAATCAAACGTCGGCCCCTCAAATGGGTCCCATATTGCCTACAAAGATTTAATAAAATGATAAAATATCTGTAAACCCTATAATGCTCTCATCTAAACTCAATCCATCTTCTTCCCCTCTTTGATCTAACTAAGTTTGAACACAACAAAATTTAGGTTCTGTTGAACCGATCGAACGAGTAAATTTGGTCATTGAACCACAAATTGAACATCAATGCAATTAAATTGTAAATGATCCAAGCAACTGGGTTCAAAATTTATCAACCACAAATTAGCTTCCAAATTCACAAAGGAACAACGTCAACATAAATTAACTCCCAAAATTTGAAAAAACATATTAAGAACTGGGAATGGAAAACGAAAAAAGGAATGAAAAACCTGGTGAACTTGACAAGCAGAGGAAGGCTTCAACGGAACCAAGCCTGTGTTCGATGGAACGCAAATCAGCTGGGTCCATTGAGCCCAGATGAAAAACTTGTTGAATATAGATAAGGCTTCACTGAAAATCTTCACTCATTCGCTGTTATCTAATTAAATTTAATAAACAAACACAAATGGATCCAAATTGCAAAATTTCACACGAACTACCTAGCCTTGATAGTGCTCTAAGGCAAGCCATGCCTGACATGTATTATTTCTTCTGGGGTGGGAGATGATAATAGCTTGCCCTTTGAAGAACCAATAGGAGGTTCATTAGCTGAAATACCGATTACAATATTCAAGAGCTTTTTGAAGTCTCCTTGATGATTGGACTTATGATTAACAGCAACTACCTTTGTATCAAACCGCAAACACTGTAGGAAACTGGACACATTTCCTTAAGTTACTGTAGAACTGCTTCTCAAAGGAAGAGAAGCCAAGATTGATCTGGGTATGGAACCCAATAGATTTGGGGTTCCACTGAACCCAACTGCTAGGTTCGATGGAACCCAGATCAGCTGGGTCTATCAAACCCAAAAGCTGGGTTCGACGAAACCCAGTAGATCGAACCTAGATCAACTAGGTCCATCGAACCTAGTTGCTAGGTTTCGTCGAACCCAACTTTTGGGTTCGACGGGTTCTAATGACCTAGTTAATCTAGGTTCGATGGTTCCACCGAACCCTAGTTGCCGAGTTTCGTTCCACCGAACCCAGCAATAGGAAAAAAAAAGAAAGAGAAAGAAAGAGAAAGAAAGAGGAAGAAAGAGGGGGAAGAAGATGGATCAAGAATGAGAGGGTAATATTATAATTTTACTATTTTTATTTATTTTTATTAAAAATATTAATATTAATATGATGTAGCATTTTTATTTGTCCCCATAACTTAATTATAAGACATATCATTGCCACATCATCAAAAGAACTAAAAGAAAATGTCATTTGGAATTAGTTAATTGCCACATCACAGCTAACTGACGAAAGGATCAAAATCGTGCACTTCTTAGAGTTAAGGGATAAAAAAAGTACAAAAAATAATTAAGAGACCAAAAAATACAACTCCATAAAGTTGAGGGACCAAAATTAACATTTAACCTAAAACATTCAAACTAGAACCTGTAAAATTGAAAATGAAAGACAATTTTGCATCACAATTTTACTTTAAAACTTTACGTCAAGTTGGATCTTTGTCTCAATTGGATCATTGTCTCAAATTAAATTTTAGAGATAGAACATATGGAGTTCATGTTCATAATGTGTTGTAAAATAAAAAAAGAAATAAGTAAAAAAGAAGCATGAATTAAATAGATTTAAAGAGACAATACAAAGACATGAGATATTTTATCATTTTCTTCATCCCTCCATTTGCATACAAGTCTTATAATAAAGGTAAATGATGATAGGGATTACAAGAATTAAACACTTATTAAATGAGAGATTGGAAGGATTATTTACTTACTAATATTTGAGTTATAAGATAAAACTTTTACACTATTATAATTGCACGGAAGAAGTGTGAGGGGAAGGAGATAAAGGGTGGGAAGAGAAACATCCAGCTAGAAATGATTTTGATTCCTAATACATATATACTTAATAATAAGGATAAAATTAGAGTTGTAATATTTAATTTTTAAATAGAAAGAGAAACAGTTAATTTAAGGGAAGCAAATGTTTGATTTGCGGAAACAAACAAAATGTAAAGAGAGATGAATTTTTTAATCAATTGTACCATATAATTTGTCAAAAATATAATTTCATTAATTAAAAAAATATATTTCATTCCTTCTCTCCCTCTTCTCAAACAAAATATATTGTAAATCACTTTTATTTAAACTTTGTTTTTTTTTTTTTTAATGCTAAGAGTGAAATTCAAAACCCACACATTCAAATTAAGCCACGAGAAGTCCTTTTACAAAGACGAGGTGGCCACTAACCCACAAAGGCGTTCTCTCTTTTTAAATTGGGGTTAATTTAATAAATCATATACTAATTTTCATATTTTTTTTCAGTTTCATTTATTATTTTTGAATTTTTTCAATCTTACCTATTATCTTTCACATTTATTTCAATTTCATCTAGTTCATTATCTTTAACGAAAATGTTTGTTATCTTTAACGAATCTTTTTATTAAAATATTTAGTCATCTAACTATATTTCTTTTGATCTTTTAGTCCTTAAATTTATATTCATCGTAAAAATAGTTTTTATTATTATCTTGTTAAATGTGCTCTTCAAAAAACTATTTTACAAAGTGGATTGTATGCACTCTATCTTATAAAATTATTTAAATGTCTTTAATTTTATTTTTATATTATTTTTTAGAGACATTTAAATAATTTTATAAGACAAACTGCATAAAATCTACTATGTAAAACAAACTTACTCTTAAAATTTCTCATTTTAAACTTACTAAGTTTTTTGTTTGAATTGACCTAATTGCTCAAGTTTATTACAAAATTTAGTTAATTTATCTTTATAAAATATTTCTTAAATCATCATACTTTATTAGGATTATAGTGTCACTTTTTCAAAACTTTAAAGACTACTCTTTCCATTAAATCTAACAAAATTTTATATGGTAGACTATTTTGAAATATTCTTCAAAGTTTATAAACTATTTAGAAAGAAAATAAACTTTATAGACTAAAATGAAATTAAGTTGATAATTAATAGATTAAAAATTACATAAAGCCATTTAAACTTTGACAATGCTTTGACACTTTATTCTCATAAAGTACCTCATCTTATAATGTAAATGGATTCTTAGGTTAAGAACAACTTGTTAGTATTAATTGTCATTAAAAAAATAAAACTTAATATTTATTTAATTAATTATCTAATTAAAATAATACATGTAATATTAATGATAAAATTAATATCAATTTTTTTAAAATTTTTTATATTAATTAACATAAAAAAGGTATATTAATTATATTCTTAAGGATACAAATTAGATAAATTCAATGTAAATTTAACACAATAAAATGCAGTAAAAAACTCCTAAACAAAACCTCGGTAAGTGCAATAACTAAATTAAAACAGAAGGAACAAATATTTGTATACATAAACAATTGCTTTTTATGACATAACTCAGTTATTTTGAAAATGTAACTTTGGTTCTTTCTTTATAAAATTTAGTAGAAATTAGCATATATACGTACACTCTTATACATTTGACCAATCAAAGAAGAATGATCAAGGTTGAATGATATTTCTGCTCTGCTCAAACGGAGACGGGAGAGGGTAATGAAGGAGGGACCCGGTTTTCAGCTGGGATTTCCACAAACTCTGATAGGATTGCCCTGAATTCATCTCCAGACATTGTTTCCTTCTCAAGGAGCACTTCTACAATCTTGTCAATTGCTTCCCGGTTGTTTCTAATGTGTCTCAATGCAACCTCATATGCACTGTCTGTTAACTTCTTGACAGCAGCATCAATGTCTTCTGCCAATTTCTCTGACATCGAATTTCTTGCCATCATTCTCATGATCACGTCGCCACTTTGAGCTGATGCTTCCATAAGCGACCATGGACCAATGTCAGACATGCCAAATGTTACTACCATCTACAAACAAATCAAAAATCGATGTCACTGAAACATGTTGGTCCAATAAGCAGTGAAGGAATAATACAGCTACTGGCTACAAGAACAAAGTTGAATACCATGGACTAAAGTTTCCTTGGGAGATTTCCCAATGGTTGAAAACTTGTACTTCCATGATGATGTTGGAAGTCTCAAGTTCAAACTGTATGAGGGAAGGGGGGGGGGGGGAATCTTCTGTTGTATAGTCCAAAGTAACCAAAAGAAAATAACACCATGAACATTGGTAGCAGAGGTTAGATTGAGAACCAGAGCTTCATTTTTTTTATTAAAAAAAAATGAATTCAATCAAGAGATCCTCAGTAAGGTCCAATGGTAAATCAGTACCCACTAAGGAGATCAACAGGAGCTCCTATGGACCTATATTTTGATCCTGATCTTCCAAAACACTAGAGGGACTCCAATACGAGGATGAGTATGGAAGGCTGATCCAAACCTAAACCTACGAGGCTACCACCAGTATAATGGTAATTGAGCATTTCATTTAAAACAATTGAGTGCCAGTTTCTCAAAGAAACATTATATTTAGGTACATCTAGAGGAGCCTTAGCTATTACAAAGATTTGGACCCAGACCTTACTCCCAAAATCAAGATTTAGAAGTTAGTGGATAACAGCCAAGGCCAAGCAAATACCATTTTTAACCAACAAGATGAAAAGGCAATAAAAAATCACAAAATGGAGGGGATTAGGATTACTCTGAGTTAACCAACTCTATAATTTTGCTAAAAGAAGAAAATAGGAATCATATCAATCACCTGTTTAGCCAATGAAGTGATTTGCTGTAAGTCACCAGCAGCACCTGTGGTCACCTCAGGCTCACCAAAGATGACTTCCTCGGCAGCTCTACCACCAAGTCCACCAACAATTCTTGCAAAGAGTTGTTGCTTGGAGATCAGGGTGGGGTCATCTGAAGGGATGAACCAAGTGAGACCACGTGCCTGCCCACGTGGAATCAGCGTCACCTTTTGAACAGGATCATGCCCTGGAGTTAATGTTCTGTTAAAGAAAAAATAAGGTGCTGCAGTTAGTAGGTTTTTCAAACAATCATATTAACATTTAAGTGGTTAATATTAGCAACGGGGATTACAATAGCCAAAAAGATTGTGAAATAAATGCTATAATAGATTGATAGCAAAGAGGCAAGCACGGTTGCATAGAAGCAAACTCCAATGTTTATTAGCAATAAACATGAAACAATTAAATAAGTTAAATTTCTATTGAAGTGAAGTCTCCTTCAGTTTATGGTTAAAACTATTAAGCCAACGGTCTAGATTCTAGAAGTCTTCTTGTCCCTGAACACCATGTAGTGGCCTGAACTTGAACTTAAATTCTAACATCTTATACCCCATGACTCCATAATGATGACCATATTTTCAGAAATATTATTTTTATGGAAGATAATAACACATCCACGTCCATAATGGATTGAACACGTGCTCAAGTGAAGTAACAACCAACTTTTCTATCAACAACAGCTAAGCCAAGTTGGTACCATTAACTTGAAAGCCTTGACTCTAGGGTCAAGGTTAGAGGTTCAAATGTTTACAGTAGCTGAGTATTGAAAAACCCAAGTAAATGTAATTTTGTACCCTGGGTCAGGGTCAGAAATTCAAGCCTAAACTCTGGGGTCAAGGTCAGAGGTTCAAACCTCTACAGTTGTAATTTTGTACCGTGCAAATATTAAAACTGAATCTAACAAATGTAACAGTGTTTTGTCTTAAATTTGGAAATTGATAACTTTTGCAAGATGACATGACTCATGCTCCTTTTTCTAGCAATGAGAAACTCAAGCAGTTATTTAGGTGCTCAACCCTACAAAGCTGCAACTTACATTTGTATATGGGGTATGTACCAAAGACACATTTGTACCTGAGGTTTAGAATTCGGATTCATCTAAAAGAAACTTTATCATGATGAAACCCCATCACCATCAGTTCTATAGAAGAATATATTATAAACTTCTTAAATATTTAAGCAGGAAGGTGAAGCACTGCTAGAAAGGAAAAGAATACAAGGAAATTAGTGGCTTTTAGCTACTTACCCACATATGGCATGGCCCACTTCATGGTATGCAACCAAGCTTTTGCTCTTCCCGTCTGTCATAACTGTTCCCTCCATGCCAGCCACAATTCTATCAATTGAATCATCAATCTCTTTAGATGAAATTGCTGCCTTGCCCCTCCGACCGGCCAATATGGCAGCCTCATTTAAGAGGTTTGCAAGATCTGCTCCGCTAAAACCAGGTGTTCTCATGGCTATCACATCAAGTGACACATCAGCATCAAACTTCTTATTGCTGGCATGAACCTTCAGTATGTCTGTTCTGCCTCTTATGTCTGGAACATCCACTGTCACCTGCATTACAGCCTTACATGAGTGCTTCTTTCTATATTACAAAAGCAAAAAGGATACAATGATCCAGTCTTACCTGTCTATCAAACCTTCCTGGCCTCAGTAAAGCAGAGTCCAGAATGTCTGCCCTGTTAGTTGCTGCAATAACAATGATACCTGTGTTACCCTCAAATCCATCCATTTCTGTCAAAAGCTGGTTAAGTGTCTGCTCCCTTTCATCGTTCCCTCCACCAATACCAGTTCCTCTTTGCCGTCCCACAGCATCAATTTCATCCACAAAGACAATGCAAGGGGCATTCTCCTTGGCTTTCTTGAAAAGATCGCGGACTCTAGAGGCACCAACACCAACAAACATCTCAACGAACTCAGAACCTGAGATGGAGAAAAATGGAACACCAGCTTCACCAGCAATTGCCTTGGCTAGAAGAGTCTTTCCAGTTCCAGGAGGACCAACGAGAAGAACACCTTTAGGAATGCGAGCCCCAACTGCAGTGAATCTCTCAGGCTTCTTCAGAAACTCCACAACCTCCATGAAATCCTGCTTTGCCTCATCAACTCCAGCAACATCATCAAATGTTACACCAGTGTTAGGTTCCATTTGGAACTTTGCTTTTGATTGACCAAAGCCAAGAGGGAACCCAGGTCCACCTGGACCACCCATTCCTCCTGATGATCGCCTTGAAAGAAGGAAAAGTGCGCCAATCAAGATCAATGGGAAAGCTAGGTTTCCAATCAAGTTGAATAACAAAGAACCAGAATCTTCTTGAGCGTTATGAGCAGCAAAGTCAATATTCTTCTCCCTGAACTTCTGAAGAAGCTCTTGGCTGAGTCCTGGCAACTGCACACGAACCCGTTGGACACGATTACCCAACTCAGGAGAGACAGCCTCCACAATAGCTATAGTTCCATTTTCAAACAAGTCAACCTTTTTAACCCTATCCTTGTCCAAATACTCCAAAAATCTAGAATAAGACATTCTGGAGGAAGAAACCCCTTGGTCATCAGCATAAGCTTTCCCAGTTCCCAACAAAGCAGGAACACCAATTCCAGCATTTCCAAGCAACAACCTTAAAAAGCCCCTTCTTTCTTGATGATGCTTTTGTTCTAAAGATGCTCTTACAAAGACCACATTTGATTTCCTGCCCCCATATGAGAAACCTGAGGGAATATGAAGATTCCTAGTATGGAATACCTTGCTCGAGTTTGGTTTGGTTGAATAGGTTGCGAGACCACTGCCTACCAGACATGCTGATGGTGCTGCCATGGTAGTTCCAAAGAGAAAATATGTACCAAATAAAGGTGATCCTTCCTCTGAACAAAGCAAAAAATAGAACCAACGAATTAGTGAAACAAATTTCAGCTTCACTCTACTCAACAATTTAAAATAGCAAAAAAATTACTGTTTATTTTTTACTTTGATTTCGTCTTTTTAAAAAAATAAATAAATAAATAAATAATTTTTTAATTTAACAATATCATTATTCATTTATTTTACTTAATTATTTTATTAAAAAATATATAAATTTATTTTTAATTTTTCTTTAAGAGCAATACCGATAAGTATTTAAATTATTCTTAAAATTTTAATTTAAAAAAAAATCAAAAAATAATAATTATTTTAAGATAAACAACTTCCCAGCAAGATTACCCAGAGTCCCACGCTTAGATGGTATATCAAACAAGAAAACTAAAAGCTCGAATTTTTATCAGAAGAATAATAAAGGAATAACAACCCACAAACCCTTAATTGCATAATTAAGCAGGTCTAACAACCAGAGGATGGAGAAAGAACAGAAGCAAATTTGTAAAAAAAAAAATTCCCATCTCCTAAAATATAAAAAACTCAACATTCCAAACAAAAAAATTAGCAATGAAGACGGCAGAAGCAATTTCAGCATTTCAGTATCCATAGAAGAAAAGAGAGGAGAAGAGAAACGTGTACCTGAGACGACGACGAAGAAGAAAAGAAGAGCAGGTCTGGTCTGCTGTGAGTGGAAGATTGGGAGTGTTGGCGTGTTAATTATGGAGAGTGGATGTGGTTTGGGAATGGTGTGCGTGGCGCTCTCTCGATGCCTTGCTGTCTGTGTCTTTGTTGTTTGTGACTTGCTCAGTTGCTTGCACCGTTTGGTCACCAATTGTTTTAGATATTTCCCTTCTCCTTTTGTTGAAGAACATGGTTGTGAAAAACCAACCATACCATGCCATTCGAGCTTTCGGTTCATCGGTTTAGTTATTGAAAATGCAACCGATATAATTTTACATGATATTATAAATATATAATATTATCATAATATATGATTTATAGTTAATTTATTTTATTTAAAAATTTATGAGAATAATGCCTATTAATTTTATATTTTTAAGAGAAAAATTATTTTAAAATATTAAAAAAATAAAAAATATTCTAATTTATACTTTAAAAATAAAATATTTTAATCTTTTTCAATAAAAATTTATTAAAAAGCATAATTTTAAAATATTTTTTCCCTTAATTTTTAAAAAGTAAAATTAATAGGTACTATTTTTTATATTTGTTTAATATTATATTATAATTATAAATTTATAATTTTATATAATATTATAATTATATTCTTATTAAACTATTAAATCAACCCAGCTATAGAATTTAAGCCAACGAACATAAGTGGTCTAATGATAATTTAAATGAGTCCGAATCATATGGTGATCGAGTTAAAATGATGACATCTCTAGCACAGGAGCACGTCGAGCACCCGATGGACAAACTCAGCCAAATGCATTTTTCTAAAAAACGGTTTCTGACAATTTCTAGCTCTATAGCTAAAGGTGCAAACTGTTGTTTTTATTTTAGAGTGAAATTTTTGCTGATAAACTTTTATAATTGATAAAATTTTCCAAATTGCAATATATTTTTAATTATTTATTATAAATTCTTGACTCTGGTACTTGCAGAAAAACACTATTAGAAAACCAGCAAAAAATTTGCAATGTCATTGTTCCCTGCAAGCAGGAGAAACTGTTCAAGTCCTTTCATACATTTAGGGAGAACATATGATTGCATTGAGGAACATTTGTTTTGGTTCAAAATTTTCAGGCAAACTACAGCTTCTCTTACCATCCTCATAAAAAATCTTTCTCCTTATTTTGTGATAATATGTAAATGGTTCTTGCATTGGCTCTGTAAAATTGAACTCCCATGTCCACTCTTCATTGTGGTGAATGGAATTCTTCTTCTTGACACTTAAACCAATCTTGGAATTTGTCCCAAGACAGCAACACATGTCTGTTTCATTTGCCTGGAAATCTAGATAGAACCCTTGACACATTTCTCAACCTCCAGCCTTTCCCATGTTACCATCAACTATGAAATCAAGAAAAGATTAAGCAAGTAATAACATTAATAAAAACCATAAATATGTAGGAAACTGTATTAGCCTAAATATGATAGTAATGCACATGCCAATTTCATGCTAGAGTAAAGGCTTCATACATTTGTTTCAGTTTCAAAAGCAAGTCTGAACATGCAGATCTCTATTCCTGCCCACAGGTTGATGTTCATCCATAAAGAGAGAGGAAGCACAGATGTAAGGCACCATTTTCATTTTGGGTTAGAGATGTATAAGTCATTTAGAAATGTAAACAAGAAAGATCAGTCTTAATGGTCAAAATCATATTAACTTTGAACAAAAAGCATAAAAAAGGAGTTGCAACAGAAAAACAACCATCCCTGTACTTTCTCCCCTACCTATAATGAAATGTTTCTTTTTTGGGGGTGATTCAGCTTGTTCTATAGATTAAGCATTAGTCATATAACTCATCATAGAGCATCAAGTTATTACCTCAATTCCTATCCTTCAAACTTCAGCAAAAGATATCCAATTCATTGGCACACCATCACTCTTCAGAGAAGATATTATCAATAATTTAATCCTTCTTCCACACATTTTATTAAAAGCATGGCTGAAGATTTATGAAGAAAACCAGGGGAGGATGCAATATTAGAAAAACAATTATCCAAATTGAAGATATCAACATACAATTTCACAAGGAGAAAAATATAATGCGCTCATATTATAATCATACATATGGAAAAGGTTAGTTAATTAGGGACTCCTAAGTCCTTTCATCCAAAACAGTGCTGTTTCAGTAGCTTAGGCCAACTAGACAAGACTAGAGTGATTCTGTCATTTCACAACTGGGTTTGCTTTTAATCTAAGGCTTGAACCATCAAATGACAACTTCTTGGATAAAAAGACTCTAATCTAACTGACAAGCACTAACCCCTAATCATATATTATTACATCATAGGAATGATCATTTTGAATTTTCTTTCTACAGCAAGAAAGGTTTTAATTTACATACAATTACAGCAAAACATGATAAATGAAAAGCAAAAAAATGAAAATGACTTTAACTTTCAAATAAAAAGAAGATAGCAAATGATATTATGTTTAGAATGAATCCTAGAATGTTATTGACTGCATGTTTCTACAGCTGAAAAAAAAAAAACACTGAAGCCTTAACAAAGAGGTTGGACTTAAGTTTGTTTGTTAAGGTTTAGTTCAAGAGCTTGCCTGCCAACTCGCTTACATATATTAATAACATTATTTTTTAAAATAAGAAAAATAAATAAGTTTACAATAATAAGTTAGCTTATTGAGCATCAAGATGAATTTGAGTACTAAAAGCCAAGCTTGAGCTCATAGTCCAGCATACATAAATTTACTTGAGCCAAGCTCAAACTCGCTAGAGTTCACTTTGGTTGGGCTCATATTGAGCCCTAATATTTTCTACTAACAGTCTTATCTACTTCTCTAGATTGCTTTCTAAATTAAGTTACTATTCATTTCACTATTATATTATTATAGGGATTTTAAAAGCTCTGTCCATATTGTGCTTAATTGTTAATTTCTTCACACAGCTGGTTTGTAGCACGGTTGCAATAAGTTGACAGTCAAGACAGAATTTAATGCATCATATAAATCACAAGTATGATTCAATCCTCTTCCCCCAAATAAACCATAAATCTCCATCATCTTTCTTAACTTTGTTAGTGAAGGGTACATAATATCCTTACAAATCAGAAAATGAGTATGCCTCTAAGTCTGTCAAAAAATGACCTAATGTAATGCTCCTAAAGAATTCAACATAAAAACCCAAGCATAAGTCTCAATCATTTAAAAAGAGAAGCATTTAACTTAAAAAGAGAAACATTTAAGAAACTTAGAAGTATATGCTGCATGCGAAAGCTTCAATCATTCGAAAAACTAAAAAACTAAAACAGACAGATGCATTTCTTGGGAAGAAATTTCACCTTTTAGTTGCCACTTCGCACTTAAATCAATTAGAATCCTCTAAATTTTCCTCAAACTAGCAATGCCGGCATGGAGAACCATTGATCAGGATTGCTAGCCTGTTAGAGAACTATTTTCCAGAACATAAAGTAGAACTGCAATGAAGAGGAAGGAAAAAGATGTGGTGCGAGTTCATGGCTTCATTGGTTGTTCTCTTCTTGCAAGCAAGACTCCCCCTGACTAATTTCCACTGACTTTTGTTTGTTAGAAACAGTGCCACAGCGCCCAAGTAAAACAAGATCAAAAAGCTTTCTCCTTATGTCATAGACCGGGCTTGTTTCAATTAAACAGCCTCTCTCATATGCTTCTCTGAGGAAAACAGTATGTCTTTTCCCCTTTGTTGACAGATAAAACATCCCTGGGTGATCCAAGAATAAGTCCCTAATATTCAAATCAATCCCAAATGATTTCCTGAAATGGCTGATCTTTTCCACTTCCACCATCTTCTCCACTGTCAAACTCAAGAACTCATGAACAATGGATACTGCTCGTTTCTCCAACCTCATAATTGCTGCCTTCAAATTCCTCTGCTCAACCAATTCCTCATAAGGCCCCACATAGGGCAACTTCTGCCATTCCTTAACTTTAGCTTTAAAATCCTTGCTCAATCTCATCCCTGGAGGATAACTATGTCTGAAACTAAATCTAATTTCAGTTCTGTCCACAGTGCTATCCTCCTTGCAACATTCAATAAGCCTCCAATTTTCCACCGCTGCCTTAAATTTATTGCTGCACATTTTGTCAACCAGTTCCAAGACATGAGTATTTGGCTCATGGGCAGCATAAAGTCTGAATAAATGTGAGTTTTGTGATATCACCGAATCCTCAAAATCATCTGGCAGTCCAAGTTCCCTCCAAACTTTGAAAATTGCACGAAGAGGCAATGATTTAGTAGTTGACATAGACAAAAGCCTAACCAACCGATCAACAACATCTGGTAAAGAAGCATTGATAGCCACTGCCTCTTGGTGACAGATGTCAATCACAGCATCAGTCAATCTGCAAAACGGCTGGGACTTAATGGGGTCATAGAAAATGTAGAAGATGTGAGGATATTTACGGAGAAAGGAGGCAGCTCCTCGATTAAGGTGAAGGTTTTGGGAAAGTCTGGAGAGGAAATCAAGAGAGGCTGCTGGAGGATTATTAGCTGGGTTTGCAAGGATAAGGTCTTGTACCGCAATGACTTTGAGAAGATTTTTGTACTTGTCCATCAGTTTCTCAAATGTAGCATCTCTTGCTCTGGATGCTACATATTGGGCAGAGGTTGTTTTATGACGGACAGAGTTGCTTTGGAAAGAGCTGTGGCATTTCAACATGAATTTGACAATATGAAGTCTCATCCTAAAGCACAAGTAAGCTGCAACTCAACTTTTTATCATTTGGGTCTGTCTGTTGGAACCAAAGAAAGTAGCTTCAGCTCACTTTAAATGCAAAAAGAATGTATCCTTAACACCCCCCCCCCCCCCCGGGAAATATATATATGTGTGTGTGTGTGAAACATGAATTTAGCCGGATACAAACATAAATGAAATGAAAGTTGAAAATTATATGTTTTACATAAGAATAAAACCTCATTACAATTTGCCGCAAGCAATTCAATTCCCATTTTCCTAAGCTTGGCCATACAGAAATATTGGAAATTAAAACACAAAAGAATGAAAATTCCTTCAAGCATCAGAGATTCAAAACCCAGAACCAGGTCTAAAGCCAAACAACCCCAACATGCATTGTGAATAAAAGAAGGGGATTTGATTTGAATAAAACAAACGGCCTCCTGAATGTAATTTATGCATTCAGTCGACAGAGAGATAGAGACAGAAACCGAGTACCTATTGAACTCGCAGAGAAGAGTTTCCTGTTGACTGGAGCAAAGTGAATGAGGCTGAGACAACAGCGTTTGCCCTGTGTACACCTACAATCTTTGATCTTAATGGAAATGGTGGAGAGCAACAACAAAAAGAAGAAGAGAGAAAAACTGACTGGAAGTTTGAGAAAAAACGTGCAAAATGAAAAACCAAAATGGTGTGCTAAATGCTCCTTTTCAGTGCCTTTGATGGGCCAAGTCGACCGATATGGACCATAGGGCCCAACGATCGAGCCCACATACTTCTACAATATTGAGTAAAAATCTTCAATTTTTTCAGCATAATTTAGAGGAAATAAGAAAAATCAAAATGTTTTGATATTTTAAATATTAAGATGATCAATTACTATCATTAATTATATGAAATATGGTAAAAACCTTAATTTTATCAAATTTATTATATAATTATTATCATATACTGAAATTTTTAATGATAA